TGTTGAATGTGAATAAATATATTCGTGAATAATAATAACAACATTAAATGTGAATGAATATAAACTTTGTGAATTTTGCACCATTTCGCCAACCATACCCAGAAGCTAAAGTTATCCTAACAGTTCGAGATTCCGAAGATGCTTGGGTTAAAAGCTGGAAAGAACATCTTCAAATAAACTCAAGAATGATACCCTTCTATGTTAAGCTTCTTTTCTATATCTTACCTCGCAGGAAGAAACGAAAACATTTTTTAGACGCCTTACGTCAAGCGATTTCTGGAAGCTCTAATCCTGAGGCTACCGCTCTCTTCAGAGTGAAATACCGGCAACACAACGAGAGAGTTCAGGCCGTCATTCCCGCTGAAAAGCTTCTTGTTTTCAATGTTAAACAAGGGTGGAAGCCATTGTGCGAATTCCTTGGATGCGACGTACCTTCGAGTCCATTTCCACGAGTAAATGTGGCCCATTCCGATACCAAGAGGGGACTCTCACAGTTAATTGGTGAGACCGAGCGATACATAGCCCTCGTTATACTTTCCATAGTAGTTCTACTTGCTTCTGTTTTTGTTGGTTTATATGTCACGGGCGACGAGCAAAGATGACCCTTAAAATATGTCGTTTGTTAGTAAAACGTGTAACAGCGTAACGAGAAAGCGCGAAATGCGATTTTTCTGTTCTTTTTTTCATTTATTTCTGTTGTTGTTGTTGTTTGGTTTTGTTTGTTTGCATTTTCCAAGTAGAAATTTGTTAATTATTAATTCGTATTTGGCGGAGTTTTCCTAGCGTCAGATTGCGTGACGAGCCCAAAGTACGCTTTTCCCGCCCTTTGGCCAAATTTGCCGCAGTCCCGGAGGTACGTACTTTTCTCCGCGGGCGCACTTTCAGACGCTTTAGGAGAATGATCGGGGGAAGGAAGACGGGGTGGGAGGGTGATGATGGAAAGTTTTTGTCTTTCAGTTTCAGTCACGTTAGTTTCCTTTCTGGTTTCTTGGTCTTCCCGGTTAAAATGAATCAAATTTATTCTTATGATGTTAAGATAATCGAAGGTCGACCGGCATTATTTTTGTCAAAAGCAAGAAGGTTAAAATAAATACCCGTTTACGGCGCGAAATGTGTAGGCTTTACATGACTTAAAAACTCTTTAGGTTGTTGAAAAGAAAACTTGTATCACAAAAAGTTCAATATAGAAGCTTTTGTTGTCTTTGTGAAGGGTATTTTTTTATGGACGTGCAAGCTCTGNGAAGGTTAAAATAAATACCCTTTTAAGGCGCAAAATGTGTAGGCTTAACATGACTTAAAAACTCTTTAGGTTGTTGAAAAGAAAACATGTATTACAAAAAGTTCAATATAGAAGCTTTTGTTGTCTTTGTGAAGGGTATTTTTTTATGGATGTGCAAGCTCTGGTGAGTAAAAAATGAATTTCCATGAGATTCAATTTGAAGGGAGTTGTTGCATGTTACTCAATTTCGTCTAAAACAATAGAAAACTCAACACGACGCTCCGGGCCGGGGAATACGCTTGTCATAATTCCCCTGAGCTGAGCCTTACTTTTTTTGGTTTAAATCCTCTTTTACGGTATTGCCGGTTTTCAGTTGAGGCGCAGCGTGAGAAAACGGAGACCGAAGTAAGTGAAAGAGAGGTCACACGGTGTGCTTCTCCCCTTTTTTGTGCCCCAATTTTCCCGCTGCGTCCCAGTTAACTGAGCGGCTGGAAGAGGCTACTTGCTAAATCCTAGGTAAAGCCGGTATTACTGAATCGCTCAGCCGCGTAAGTGATTAAATATTGTTATATTATATTATGGACACTCCGGGGACCAGGTGTCGATAATTTGCGGTATGTATCATTTCCTGACGTCGGCGATTACGCAAACATTGACACTTTATCATTCGGCGATATCAACACCAGAGCATGTCAAAAGCTCAGTCGCTGTATCTCGAACAACGACTTGTGAAGGCTGCCCAGAAGAACATTAGACTTTTTCAATTCGGCTTAAATTACTACAGCAGGAAGATTGCTTACATGTTGCTCTAGTTACTGTTCGCTGCACCTGTAAACTATTGCTACACTTTTATTAAAATTGTACTTTTATAATACAGTGTGGTAAGTTCCTAGGTGCAGTATTTCGTTTTGTTTCAAAATTCGTATGTACAGCATGTAACTGAGAAGTTCATTAAAGTTAATCAATTTAGATTCAGAAATTCACAAGACACTCACTTTTGGGGCCTGATTTTAGTTGCTAAACACTCTAAACTCTCAGTGAACACTTAAGAGGGACGTCATCATAGTGACCTGTCCGATACGGACACCTCTCTAATACGGACACTTTGCTCTGCCTCTTCGGTGGCAGTATAAGAGAGCTTCGACTGTATACCCTAGTCTGTTCGAAATATTTTAAGGTATTTTAGGTATAAGGGCCGTTTCAAATAAC